CTTTGTAGTGACTTTTTCTGGTTTTGGAATTAGAATTATGCTGGCCTCATATAACGAGTTTGGAGGTCTTCCTTCTTCTTGAATTTTTTGAAATAGTTTGAGGAGAATGGGTATTAGTTCTTCTTTGAATGTTATGTAAAATTCCCCCATGAAGCCGCCTGGGCCTGGGCGTTTGTTTGCTGGGAGAGTCTTGATTACATCTTCAATTTCTTTTGTTGTTATTGGTCTGTTCAAGTTTTCTCTCTCTACCCAGTTTTAGTTTTGGGAGACTATTTCTAGAAATGCGTCCATTTCACTTAGATTGTCAAATTTGTTGCTGTATAATTGTTAATAATATTTGTTAAAAATTCTTTGTATTTCTGTGGTGTCAGTTGTTATTTCTGCTCTTTCATTTCTGATTTTGTGTATTTGGGTTCTCTCTCTGTTTCTTGGTGAGTCTAGCTAAGCGTCCATCAATCTTGTTTATCTTTTCCAAGAATCAGCTCTTTGTTTCATTGATCCTTTGAATTGCTTTTTTGGTCTCTGTGTCATTTATTTCTGCTCTGATCTTTACTATTTCCTTCCTTCTACTTGCTCTAGGGTTTTCGTTTTGTTTGCTTTTTAGTTCTTTAAGTTGTGAGGTTAGATAGTGTATTAGAAATTTTTCTTGCTTCTTGAGGTAGGCCTGTAGTGCTATGAACAGAACTGCTTTTGCTGCATCCCACAGATTTTGTATTGTGTGTTCATTTTCATTGGTTTCCAGGAAGTTTTTAATTTCTTCCTTGATCTCCATGGTAACCCATTTATTATTCAATAACATGCGATTTAGCCTCCATATTTTTTAATGTCTTTGCATGTTCTTGTTACAGTTAATTTCTAGTTGCATGCCATTGTGATCTGAGAAGATGCTTGATATGATTTCAGTCTTCTTGAACTTGTAGAGACTTAGTTTGTGCCCTAACATGTCGTCTGTCTTTGAGAATGTCCCATGTGCACTTGAGAAGAATGTGAATTCTGCAGTTTTGGGGTGTAATTCTCTGTAGATATCTATTAAATCCATTTGATCTAACGCTTCATTTAGAGTCTGTGTTTCCTTGTTAATTTTTTGTCTAGAAGATCTATCCAGTGATGTCAGTGGAGTATTGAAGTCCCCTGCTATGATTGTATTGCTGTTGATTTCTCCTTTGAAGTCCCCCAAAAGATTTTGAATATATGTTGGTGCTTCTAAATTTGGTGCATATATGTTTACCAAGGTTCTATCTTCGTGTTGGATAGATCATTTCAATATTATGTAGTGGCCTTCTCTGTCTCTAGTTATGGCCTTCATTTTGAAATCTACTTTATCACATATGAGTATTGCTACCCCGGCTTTTTTTTTTTTTGCTTTTCGTTTGCTTGAAAGACTTTTTTCCATTCCTTCACTTTCAACCTATGTGAGTCTTTTGTTGTGAGGTGGGTTTCTTGTAAACAACATATATGTGTGTCATGCTTTCTTATCCAGTCAGCTACTCTGTGTCTTTTGATCAGAGCATTCAAACCATTCACATTTAAGGTGATAATTGATATGTACTTATTTATTGCCATTTTTGTTTAGTGTGGTTCTTTTTTTCTTCCTGTTTCTTCTACTAATTACAGCAGTCCTCTTAGCATATCTTGCAGTGCTGGTTTGGTGTTAATATATTCCTTTAGCCTTTTTTTCTCTGGAAAGCTTTTTATTTGACCTTCTATTTCGAATGATAGCCTTGCTGGATAGAGTAGTCTTGAATTCAAATCCTTGGTTTTCATGACCTTGATTACTTCATGCCACTCCCTTCTGGCCTGTTGTGTTTCTGTTGAGAAGTCAACTGAGAGCCTTATGGGGTTTTCTTTGTAGGTAACCTGTTGCTTATCTCTTACTGCCTTTAAGATTCTCTCTTTGTCTTTAATTTTTGGCATTTTGATTACTATGTGTCTTGGTGTGGGCCTGTTTGGGTTCTTCTTACTTGGGGCTCTCTGTGCTTCTTGAACTTGAATGCCTTCTTCCTTCACCAAGTTAGGAAAGTTTTCTGTCATTGTTTCTTCAAATATATTCTCTAACTCTTGCTCATTTTCTTCCTCTTTGGGGTCTCGTATGACGACAATGTTATTACATTTCCAGTTGTCCCACAGTTCTCTTAAGCTGTCTTTCTGTTTTTTAATTGTTTTTTTCCTTTTGGTTTTCTGATTGGTTGATTTTTTTCTACCCTGTCTTCTAATTCACTGATCCAGTCCTCAGCTTCCTCTACTCTGCTGGTTAGTTCTTCCAGTGTGTTCTTAATTTCTGCTATGTCGTTCTTCATTCCACTTGTTTGGTTTTCAGTGTTTATATCTTTACTCATGGTGCTGATGTCCTTACTCATGCTGTTGAGCTTCCTCAAGATGATGGCTCTGAACTCTCCCTCTGATAATTTTCTTAGCTGCATTTCATTTATCTCATCTTCTATAGAATTCTCTTGTTCTTTCATTTGGGATTTGTTTTCTTTGTTTCACCATTTTGGCTATCTCAGCGGGTTTGTGAGCCTGCCAAATTTTCCATGTGGGTGTTGGTATTCTGCTGTTTTTGGCTCCCTCTACTGGGTTTGAATGAGCCTGGATGGGCCCACGTTAAACACCACTGTCAAGTCTTACTTTCCTGGGTAGATTTGCAAGCCCAGGAAAGGTTCAGTTATCCTCTAGCTTTTTCCTGGTGGCTAGTAGTCTCAGTGACTAGGTGCCTTGGAATGTAGCCCTGGTGTTCTGCATAAGAGGATTTCCAGAGGGTGGGATAGATGCTGGTTGTTAATGAGCCTCAATTTGCATTTATTTGCCTCACCTGGAAAAGGCTTAATCTCCGGGGGGGGGGGGGGGGGCAGCTGCTGCTTTTTTCCACTGCTCCGGGAAAGAGCACACTCACCACCGTCCTTTGTGGCCACAACTCAGCAAAAACTCTGACTGCCCTCCAAATCCCGGGTGTCCCACAGAGTTCGAGCCCAGTCTGCCCTCCCTCTGCCGTAACCCCCAGGTGAGTGGCTGTGGCTATGTTAGTACTCTGTCCCGGCTCTCTGCGCTGTGGAACGGGCTTAGTCTTTATTCCCCAAGGGTGCTGCTCACAGCTAAGACTGCTGCTGTCCATGGCCTCCCAGCCTGCCACCCTCTCGCACCTCCGCAGATCCTCCCAGTGTCTCTGGTTATATGGTCCTGTCCTGCTGCTTTTCTTTTGCCCTTTTCCAAGGATTTTTTTTTATTTTAATTATAATTCTCATTTGGTCCTAGGAGATCATCTGCTTAGCTTCTATTTACTCTGCTTCCATTTTCACATTCTCTATGCTTATCTTGTGTGCAGCTGGATCACACAGGCCTTTCTGGTGCCCCCGCACCCTGCAGGTCCCACTGGTAACTATCGCACAATCCCTTTGGGGATCCGATTCTATGCCTATGTTATGGGCTGCTGGGTCGCACAGGCCTCTCTGGTGCTTCAGCACCCCCTGGTCCCGCGGGTAATTGGATGGCACAGTCCCTGCTGGGTTGCGCAGGTCTTTCTGGTGCTTCAGCACCCCACTTGCCCCATGGATAACTAGATCACGCAGTCCCTGCTGGGTTGCACAGGCCTCTCTGGTTCCCCCGCACCCTGCAGTTCCTGAGGCCTGGCAGCTGGATTGCACCAGTCTCTCAGGCTCTGGTTTCCCACTGCTCTTGTGAGCTACTGGACCGCACAGGCCTCTGTGGAGCCCCAGGTCCCGCTGCTGGCGGCTGGGGAGTGCTGCTGCCCTGTGGGGCTCAACTCCTGCTCAGCTTTTGCTGTAGTTTTGGGGGATGGGTCTCAGCTGCTGGTCTGTGCTTCTGTTGCCTGGGGATGGATGTCTGCTCCCCAGCCTCTGCTGCTGGAGGTATATCTCGACCCTGATTGGGCTGCTACTATGGGGGATGGTGCCGGGCTGTCCGCGGCTTCCACGACCAGCACCTTGGGAGCTCCACTACTGTGCACTGGTCTGTGTTGACACAGAGTGTCCACTGGTCCGATGGTGCCAGGTGTGCTGGTGGGCTCAGGTTGCTGGTCCCTAGCCGCTCCCACTACCTCCTCCCAGGGAAGACCCGCGATCTTCCACAATGGTGGTACCTCCCCGTGGCGCAGGGAGAAGCGCCCTGAAGGGCCGCTTACCAAGGTAGTCAGCTGCTCCATCCACAGCACAGGAACCTTCTGCTCTGTGGCTCTGCACTGCTTGGGTTTGGTCGTCTACCTTTAAGTCCACTCACACTGTCACACACTCACCCTCCCTCCGGTCCTGCCTGCCGCCATCTTTTCAGATTCTTGTTAAGAATTTTTATCATGAATGGCTGTTGCATTTTGTCAAATGCTCTTTTGGCATTTACTCAGATTATCATATGCCTTTTGTATATTATTTTATTGATACAATAAATTAGATTGGTTGATATAAAAATTTTTACATTTATTTTAGAGAATGGAGAAGGGAGAGAGAGAGATTGATGCTTGTATGTGCCCTCACTGGGGATCGAACCCACAACTTTGGTATACTGGGGACAATGTTATCTAAGCTACCCAGCCAGGGCAGATTCGTTGACCTTTGAATGTACATCAACCTCATGTTCCTGGGGTAATCATATACTGCTGGGTTCTGTATACTCATAATTTGTCAAAGATATTTGCATATATGTCCATGAGGGATAATGTAATGTTTTTGTCAAGTTTTGCTATCAAGATTATGCTGGTATTGTAAAATGACTTGGGAAATGTCCCTTCTTTCTGTTTTCTGAAAGGGTTCTGTTATTAGTGCTTTCTTAACTATTTCATATAATTTATCAGTGAAAATAAAAAGAGAAATAAACTCTTTTTGTTAAAACACATATCACTCTAAAAATGTTTCTTGTAAGTACCATTAAATATCCTGTCTGTGTTCGAATTTCTGATCATCCCATGAATGCCAGTAGGAATATGGTAGCTCTAAAAATCATTTTGATTGAGAGTAGATGGTAATTAAAATATTATTTTCTTGTTTTATATTCAGGTTCGTGACAATAAGAAATTAAGAGTGAATGCTGTTATTGCTCCCAGGAATTCATATGCAGACAGAGCGCCTTCAAGATCTCTAAATGAACTAAAGTAAATCTTGAAAATATTAATAGAACTAACCTGTACCTTTTAAATATTGAGTAGTCATTTACCTCTTTAATATATTTTAATTATCTTTTTGTCACATAAATATATTTGTTATAGGCTGTATTATTTCCTTTTAGAATCTTTAAAGTCTAAAATAAGGAAAAATCTAGGCCCAGTAGCAGATAATGGTATAGTTAGTATATGATGGTGATGTTTTAAATCATCGGAATAATATTGGACTATTTAATTAAAAATACAAAAATAGTTGGTTAATTATTGGGAAAATAAAATGATAAATTATCACTTAATAATGCAAAAATAATTTCCCACGGATTAAATGGAAAAATTGTAATTATAAACCACCTATAAGTAAATATCTTAACTCTGAATGTAGGTAGACATTCTAAATGTAAAAGCAGTGGACGAAATGACAGAAGGATAGATTTATAGCTTATAATCATAAATATACTGTATATTAAATTTAGACAAGGAAATAAATCTCAGTAATCACTTAAATCTTAAGTGATTTTTAAAATATACAAAGAAAATGGACTTTTTCTTATTTTATTGGCCACTTGTCAACTGTCAGGTTTTTTTAAATGATAGTTTAAGAAGGAAAATCTAATAGATGCTTTTCCTTTCAGACAATATGGATTTTTTTCTTACTTGCGAGAGTTATTTGATGCACCTGCTCCTGTCATGAGTTACCTTTGCAGCCAGTATCATATTCATGAAGTTCCTGTAGGAACTGAAAGGACCCGAGAAAGAATTGAACGGGTAAGACAGAACTAAATCAGTAGTTTTGTTAAAATTTCTTAGCTTACAGTCAAGGAAAAAGTTGTAGGAAATTTAAAGAAGCTTATCATTCTGTTGTTTTTAACCACACATAAATTATCTTTGTATTTTATATTTTTAATATAACATGAAACAGTGACTATGGACTAATACTTTTATGGCAGGAGTGATATGGATGGACTTACCTAAAGTAAATTCTTAATACCTATAGGGTAATTGAATAAGTTAAAGCCTGAAAAGAAATACCTCACTCTTACCTGATTCTGCCTTGTTTGATAAACCTGTTTAAACATTTTGTTAATGGTTTAATCATTATCTCTCTCTCCCTATCCCTTCTTCTCTCTCTAAAATCAATAAAGAAAAAAATTTTAATCATTTAAATTCATGTAGTCTAGATTATCTTTCAGACAAATTATACTTCAGGATAGCAGGTTGTGATACAGAAATGTTTTAGTAAAGCTTCCCCTTCTTAAAGCTTCCCCTTAAGATTACTTAATATATCAATGACCATGCTTAATAGGATCTCATTTTCCTGAATTGGTGTAGTACTTAAACTTTTTTTTTAACTAATTGGAGTTTATTTATTAATTAAATTTATTGGGATGACATTGGCTAATAAGGTCATACAGGTTTCTCAAGGAACTCTTTCTTAGTTCCTGCATTCTGCTAACACTGCTTAGAATTATCTTCTTACAAGTAATCTCCAGGACTCCAAACCACATTTGTTGTTTTTATCACAGACAGAGACACAGGGAAGAAATTTCTTCCAAAACAGTTTTTTCCCTAACAGCAAGTTGCCCTACTAATATCACTTTTAAGAATCTAGGACCCGCCCTGGCCAGTTTGGCTCAGCGGTTAGAGCGTCCGCCTGCGGTCCAGAGAGACCCGGGTTCGGTTCCCGCTAAGGGCATGTACCTCGGTTGCAGTTTGTCCCCGGCCCTGGTTGGTCGTGCGGGTGGCAGCCACTCGATGTGTGCCTTTCACATCGATGTTTCCCTCTCTCTCTTCCTCTCTCTCCCTCCCATTCTGTCTGTACAAAAAATGGAAAAATGTCCTCGGATGAGGATTAAAAAAGAAAAAAAAGAATCTAGGACCCAATTACAGACCTAACTGCTATTTATAATATTGAGTTTATTAGAAAATATGTTTAAAAATTTTAACAACTGGTTTACAGTTATTCCAGTGTATCCTCTTTGGTCTTAATTCTATGGTATTTAGAAAAAAGAATAAGACCATATGCATAGACCAAACCAATTTCTGTTGTAATTTCAGGTATATAGGTAGGGCTATCTGAAGGTAAGGGTAGTAGTCATTCTTTACTGTTGCAAAAAGACTAGAAAATTTTGTAAGGGCATTCATAGTTTTACTTTGGAGCAGAAAAGGACAATTACTGCGCTTGGGAAATCCTTTTACTTTTTGAACAGTGCTTCAAGTTGAATTATTTTATGTACTTTTACTTTTTAACATTATTGTTCAAGTCACCTAGAGAGCTATTCATATTAAAGAAACAGCATTGGAATTCAAATAATTTACATTAAAAGTAAACTAATTCACCCTGCCCAGTTTGGGTCAGCAGTTAGAGCATCGGCCCGCAGACCAGAGAGACCTAAGTTTGGTTGCCACTAAGGGCATGTATCTTGGTTGCAGTTTTTCCCCCCGGCCCTGGTTGGGGTCATGTGGGTGGCAACCAGTTGATGTGTCTCTCTCACATCAATGTTCCTCTCTCTCTCTCTTCTTCCCTCTCTCCCTCCTACTTTTTCTTAAGATAAATGCAAAAATGTCCTCCGGTGAGGATTAAAAAAAAAGTAAAGTTAATAATTATGTTTCCCTTCATCTCTTTTCAAGTACTTTTCATTAACCATAATCTCTGGTTTTATAATAGGTAATGGTATTCTTTAATTTCTTGAACACATTGAATGTTTCTTATATTTTATTGTTTCAGTGTCCAGTTCAGTACTATATTTTATATAAATACCTATATATTATGATGAGATGTTTCTCAGACATGTGAATATACAGTAAAGCCAAGTCAGGAAGTATTTCAGATATTTGGTAAAGCCCCTAACGTTATCTTGGCTATCTTCCAAAGATATAAACCTTTGTTAAGGATTAACTTCCTGTCTTTATATTTGTAATCCTGTTTCAATGTCTACATAATGACAGTAACAGCTGTATTTCTTCATTAAATTAAAAATACATTTCTTAGTGTAAGTTTTGCTTTATTATTGAATCCTAACATTTTATGTTGTATAACCTATTTATAAATTGTTCTCACTAATTTCTAAGACTCTCCCCTTTGGTTACATTGTCTGCTGACACTCTTAATGTCCTTTTTGGTGGGAATGCCTTTCCCTCACCAATTCAAATTCAATTTAAAACTTATTATCATGAAACTTGGGTAACCTTTTCTAAGCTTTCCCTTCATTCCGAATTATTCAGCATTTAGGGATGCCAATTTATGAAACTGAGAGGTGCTTAAATATGCCTTCTCTCTTCACTTAGACTGGAAACTTCTGGAGAGAAATAAGCCATAAGAGTATTGGTAATAAACCTTTAGAGATTAGGAAAGAAAACTATATTACAGCAGCTTATTTATTAGATCTATTTCTGTATATGTATAATGTCATGGTATTTAGAATATACTTTATGAAACTCCTTGTGTAAGTCCTTAAGAGAGAAGATTGCCCCAAAATGCAAAAAAAAAGTATCTGGAATTCTTGAAAAGTGTTTCCATTAAGTATTCTCTCAATATGCAGGAATTGGATATAAGATTATGTATCTTTGAACAGTATAACTGAGGAAAAGGGAAAGTAAATTATTTACCTGCAACAATGCAGTTCAATATAATGGACACCTGGATCTGTTATCTTTCTGGGGATACAACAAAGCTCCAAAAGTACACTTAGTTGGGAGAGATTGTGTAGCGAAGTAGAATATAGCTAACTTTGCTAGTTGTCTTTGTTATTAAAAAACTTATCTAACATCAAAAAAATTAGGAGAAAACCAACATATATCTACTGTATTTGGAACTTCTAAAATTCATTTGATCTGTATTTTAAATTCTTTAGTCCTTTTAAATATATGATTATTATTAGATGTGCACTGATACTTATTTTACATTGTAGGTAATACAAGAAACCCGATTAAAACAAATGTATACAGCAGAAGAAAAGTATGTGGTGAAAACTTCTTTTTATTCAAATAAAGTTATTTCTAGTAACACATCACTAAAAGTAGCCCAGTTTCTCACAGTCACTGTGGATCTGGAGCAAAGAAGACATCTAGAAGAACATCTAAAGGTTGTTATTGTTGTTGTTTTTTTTAATTTAAGTATTAGAAAAAAAATACCTAGGGCTCTTTAAACTATATTAACAATTTTGAATATCCCATAGGAAATTAATAGAAAATTGCAAGCAGTGGAATCAGGATTGATTGCCTTACGTGAAAAAAACAAACATCTAGAGCACAAAGATAATGAACTTAGACAAAAGAAGAAGGAGCTTCTTGAAAGAAAAAACAAGAAAAGACAACTGGAACAAAAAATTAGTTCCAAACAGGAAAGGTATTTTTTATCCAATTTTATGGGGTGTGGCCTGAGGGCACAAAGCAGTATGGGGATATTATTAGTTTACCCTGGAATGATACCATAATTCCCACAAGCACATTTCTCAAACTTTAATCCTACTACCAGGGAAAGTGAATATTGGCTTTTGGTTTCAAGATTTCCCCCATATCTTACTATGTCATAGCTCAGATTTTTTGTTGTTGTTCTTTTATGCTTCTTGCCTATAGAATAAAGATACAGATATTAATGACATAATTAGCCTTTAATAATAAATGACAGCTCATTGCCTTGAGTAAGGTATAAGTTTATTCTGACTTAATATAGTATGTGTTTCCAAACACATTCATAAATTGAATCATATTTGAGGTGCAATAAGAAAATTTGTTTTTTATTGTTGGGTTTTTTTTTTTTGGTTTTTTTTTTTTTTTTAAAGCAAACAGATGTGATTAACTTTTATTTTTAAAGGTTAATAATGTACCTTGGTTGCTCAAGACAAGATGTATCTATTTATTCTAACTGCCTAGAATTTTTTTTTTTACTTTAATCCTTCACTTTATTCCTGCCTTCAGTCATCTGCAAACACTTAACATTTACTCTGCAACTGCTATATTGGACTGTTTGTTGTATTTTCTTCTTATAAAGTAATGTTGATTTTTGTAGTGAAATGACCTTTCATACCCATCACCGCCCACTATCTCACACATACAGTTACGTACTTTGGAATATTACAGTGGTGACCTGGGTAGTAGTCTCCCTCTAACTACATTGCCTCCAGAATACTGTCGTTACATTTATTTTTTAATGTTCCTATCCCCATTTAAGAATATCTGTTGTGGGCCCTGGCCGGTTTTGCTCAGCGGTTAGAGCGTCTGCCTGCGGTCTGGAGAGACCCGGGTTCGGTTCCCGCTAAGGGCATGTACCTCGGTTGTAGTTTGTCCCCGGCCCTGGTTGGTCGTGTGGGTGGCAGCCACTCGATGTGTCCCTTTCACATCGATGTTTCCCTCTCTCTCTCCCTTCCACACTGTCTGTACAAAAAATGGAAAAATGTCCTCGGATGAGGATTAAAAAAAAAAAAAAAAGAATATCTGTTGTGGTTTCCTGCCATTATTACATGAAATTTACTTTAACACTACTTTCCCATAGACTGAAACAAGATTTTGAAAAACTTGAGAGCCACTCTATGCATTCCAGCTCCTCTCCCTCCCCTCCCCAACACTCTCCTCCACTCTATAACTCCACTGAACTAGTTTATTATTGCTCCCATCCTTTGTTCTTGCTTTATTCCCTAATGGCAGCATTGTGTAGTGGAAAGAACTTAAACTTTGGTGCCAAATATATCATACTACTCAATATCTGTGATCTTAGGTAACTTAATTAACTGCTGAGCCTTAGTTTCTTCATCTGAAAGCACAAAGTATTAATTAACTTTTAGGGTTGTTGTATTGTGGTGTTTTTTTTATCCTATTAATAAAATCCTCTCCCCCCCCCCCCCCCAGTTAAGCTACTTAAGAGAAGGGACTTGGTTTATTAAATAACATAAATGACAAGAGTAACAATTAATATGTATCAATCAGTTATGGGCCAGGCACTATACTAAGTATGTTACATAGTTTACATCTTCACCACAATCCTCTAGGAAGGATATTATTATGATTTTTTAATTCTTAGATGAAGAAACTTGAAGCCCAGAAGAGTAACTTGTCCAGTTATACAGCTCATTAGCAGCAAAGGGCAGATTCATCTTTGTGACTCCAGATACTATACTGTCAGCACTAGCATTACCTCAATTACGCTGGCCACATAATACAGGGTGTGGCAAAAGTAAGTTTACAGTAGTGAGTACACAAAACAGTGTTTATTATTGAATTATTACATTACTTCCCATTCAAACAACTATAAACATGCTTTTGTCCCACCCTGTACATATCTCAACAAATACTTTTTGATTCTTAATGGTTGCATAAAATGATCGTTTAATCTAGAAGCTAACAGTTTAGACATCTGGATAGCATTGCTAAATAGCTCATAAAATAGCAGGGGACATAGGATTTGGGCTCAGTCCTTGTGCATAACTTTCATTTCTACATCATTATATGTTTTATACAGTTTAAAGCTGATGGAACAGGATACTTGCAACCTTGAAGAGGAAGAGCGAAAAGCAAGTACCAAAATCAAAGAAATAAATGTTCAAAAAGCAAAACTTGTTACCGAATTAACAAACCTAATAAAGGTAAGGCATTTTCTTAATTTTAGTCCTATTTTTATAGCAGGTAGAGAAAACAAGGTATTAGTAGTAAAATCTTAGTGAGAGATTTTTATAATAATTTCAACTTTCTCTATTATTTGACATTTTTTATAGGTCAATAAATAAGCTAAAAGCACTCATTAGGCTAAATTATAAATACACAGGAAAACTTTATAACAAAAATATTTTTCTTAATTGTAAAATAAATTAAACTCATGGGTTTCTTTCCCTAGATTTGCACTTCTTTGCATATACAAAAAGTAGATTTAATTCTTCAAAATACTACAGTGATTTCTGAGAAGAACAAATTAGAATCAGATTATATGGCTACATCATCACAACTACGTCTCAAAGAGGTAAAATTTTTGCTTATATTTTTTTATTTTGGGGTTTTAGCCTCAGACCTATTTGAAAAAAATATGTATCATATTTCCAGTATGCAATTTGTGTGCTGTTTAATTTATAAATTTAATACATTCTACTGATAAGGAAGCAATATTTGAAATGCTTTATACTATGCATTTTGTTATTTGACTGGGGGTATGGTAATAATGAAAAAAGAGAAATCTGAATATCTGGTTTAGTCACTTGAAAATGAAAGTCTCCTCTCCACTTTCTTTTGAACTCAAATTATAGTCATGACTAATACCAAGCAGTAACTAGTAACTTTAATAGCAGTTTTCACATTTCATAAAGTACACTTCAGATTATTTCTAATCAACAGTAAGAGTATTGGTGTATAATCTTGGCAATTTAATCTTTTGTAACTATCTGTGAAATGATGATAAATTTTGAAATAGTGTGGAAAGGAGAAAATGTGATATACTAAGTTAACTTCAAACACAAAGAAAAGCTGGCGACATGGTAGTAAACTGGCATAGTTTTTGAGTCTCAAATTCACTTAACAACAAATCCATGGACAGCATATATACAACAAAACCAAGTTTAAAGACATCCCTATTTTGCTGTACTGTAATATATTTTCACATTAACCATCCAGAGTTGACATCAGACTACAACTTAAGGGCACAGTCCCCAACAAGACTGCCCTTACTTTAGACACCAGCTGCAAGTTCAGGGGTCCTTGGGCCACCTGCAGTTCTGACCAAATGGCTACAAATCAGAAGCTTCCTGTGACCTCAGGTTCCGTAATTTACTAGAAGGACTCACAGAACTCAAGAAAATGCCATACTTATGATCATAGTTTTATTTTGAAGGATACAAATTACTACTAGTCACATGAAGAGATATATGAAGTGAGACAAACATAACAATGAAACTAATGAATCTAGCCTTTTTTCCCCTCACCAAGGATAAGTACTGATTTTTTTTTTTTTTTTTTTTTTTTAAGAGGGAGAAAAACCTCCCATATGCACCCTTACCAGGAATCAAACCCACAACCTTTTATGTGTACGGGACTTCACTCCAACCAACTGAGCAACATGGCCAGGGCTCTAACTTTGTTTTGACTTTGCAGTATAATTTCTAGAGAAAAAATATTGCAGTTGATATGAAACAAAGAAATTTGATAGTAAGGACAAAAGAACTACAAAAAAAAAAAGCCAAAAAACTTGTACTATTTCAGTTATATAATATTTGTAATGTTATTCTGAAAACATTACATCATAGGATAAAGCAAGTAAGGGATGTTAGTGTCATTAGGATTTTGAACATAAGAGAATACAGATTCAGATATAAAACAAAGGAATGTTAAAAACCTTGAAATATTTAAGTTGAATTCATGAACTCAATGTATTTTTTCCAAAAGAAAAAAAAATTTCCTAGATCTGTTTATTGAAAAGACCCAGATTTTTGCCTCTAAATACTATTTGCCACTAAAATCAGCCATTGGAAAAAGGGTTGATTCCCAAGCAGGGTAAGAAATGTATGAGATTAACCTCAATTATATTGTCAAGCCAGGAAGCAAAGAAGTTATTAAAGATGACTGGACTCAGGAGCTAATATGAAGAATCTCCTACTGACTATAGATGCAGTGATAACAGACTGAAACACATCAAAATATCTTAATCTGTGAATTTATAATGATACTTTAAAAAAATAATTGTCACCTTTAGAGGATGTTAGGGAACCAGCTCATTTTGAAAAATAGCAAAGAAAGAATCTTGCATTTCCTATGTGAACCTGTTATTTAGGATAAACAAAAAATGATGATGGGAAGGTTTTCTTTATCAGAAGTAATTGAGGTAATATATGCAGAAGGATTTGTCATATTAGAATATTATCACATTGCAGCTGCTGATGAATCAGAATCAGTGGATCACATTAGCTGCTCACATCACAAAAATGATAGCCAGATATTTATGTGTATCCTGATGGAAGGACACACCCACCACTTATGAAATAATGTTGTGAAAGATTAAATTTCAGTTTGATTAAGCCTCTAGAACAGGGTTTCTCAACCTCAGCACTATAAACATTTTTGGCCAGGTAAGTCTTTTTGTGGGGTTCTGTCTTTTTTGCATTGTAGGATGTTTAGCAGTATCTCTGGTCTCTGCTGCTGTAAGACTACCAGTTTCCTGGAAATATAGTGATTTTAGCAAGGTTGCAGAATTTAAGTTCATTATACAGAAATCAGTTGTGGCTCCATATATTAGCAACGGATAATTGGAAATAATAATGTAAAAATCAATACTGTATATAATCACATCGAAAATATTAAATACTTAGGGACATATTTATAAGACCTGTACACTGTTAACTATAAAACTTTGCTGACAGAAGTTAAAATAGCACTTAAGTAAATGGAGAGGTTGATTGTGTTCACAGATTCAAGATTTGTTCAAATGTCAATTCTTCCCTAAATCTATGGATACATTAAAATTCTCAGGGTTTTTAGTTTTTAGAAAATGGCAAACTCATTCTAAAATACAATGGACTTAGAAAAGCTAAAAAAGCAATTTGAGTGACAATATCTAAATTTAAGACTTATTATAAAGCTACAATCATGAAGAGATTATTGTATTGCTGAAAAAATAGACATGGGTCAATGGTTCCAGAGATGTACGGTCAGTTGTTTTGCAAAGATACCAAGACAACTCAATAGAGAAAGAATAATCTAATCTAATAATCTAATAGTGGTGGAACAGTGGAATAGTCATATGCAAAACAGTGAACCAGGGTCATATACTTAAATGTAAGAACTAAGCCTATATAAACTTCTTGAAGAAAACGTAAGAGAAAATCTTAGTGCCCTTAGATTTGGCAAAATAGAACACAAAAGGAATCAGGTTGTACTTTGTCAAAATTTAAAACATTCTGTTTAATAGATGTTAAGAAAAGGCACTCAGTTAATTGGGAGAATATATTTGCAAAACATACATCTGACAAAGGACTTGTATCTAGATGAAGAGCTATTACTGTGTGCTAAATCTGTTTATGTAAAGTTTTCTGCAAGCTAAGAATAATTTTGGCATTTTTAAAGGGTTAAAACAGAAGAATACGTAACAGACTGTATGTGGACCTCAAAACCTAAGGCTCTGTATAGAAAATGTTTGCTAACATCTGATGGATATTATAAAAAGACCTCAATACAAGGAAGACAACCCAATCCAAAATATGGGCAAAAGATTTAAGCATACTCTTCACTGAAGTATGCAGATAGCAAATAAGCACATAAAAAGATTCCCAGTCTTATTAGTCAAGTATGAATTAAGGCCATAATAATGAGCTAACACCAAAGAACCACTAGAATAACTAAAATTTTAAGACTGAGCATACCAGAGTGAAGGTGAGGATGTACAGCAACCGAAACTAACACACTTTACTGGTAGAGATTTAAAGTGTTAATCACTTTGGAAAACCATTTGGGAGATTCTTAAAAGCTAAACATATATCTGCGAACAGAGTAAACAAATTACAGTATACCCATAAAAAGGAGTGAATTACTGATACATACAACATGGTGGATCTCAATTATGCTGAGTGAAAGAAGCCAGACTAAAAAACTTTGATGCCATTTATATAAAATTCTACAAACTGCAGAATGCCTAATGAGAGAAATAAATCAGTGGTTGCCTGGGGAGGGTACAGTGGGATGGATTACGGAGGGGTGGATACAAAGCTGCTGAAAGTGATAGAGATATATGCTCATTATCTTGGTGGTGACGGTTCCACTGATGTTGTATATATTTGTCAAAATTCATCATTATAAAGTTGTACACTTTAAAATAGTGCAGTGTATTCATCAATTACACTTCAAAACTGAAAAGTATGAAATTTTAGTTATATATATGAGTAGAACGAGTAATATAAAATCCATATGTCCACTATTCCTGTTAAACATATATTACACTTTACCACATTTGTTGCAGATTTTTAAAACTTATCATGTATTCAAAGTCCCCTTATACCCTTCCCCTTCCACTCTTCTGCTTTCTCAGATTCTACTCTGGCAGTGGTCTGTATGTGATTCACTTTACATTTAACTTTTCACAAACGTACCTGTTGTGTACAAGTGAACAAAATTTTTGTACTGTCTTTTTGTGGAAAGAGTCATTAGAGAATAGGTTTTAGGAAATAAAGACATAGGACTGTACAGATGAATGGAAAGAGTAAATGAAAGTGGAAGAGAGCCCTGGCCGGTTTGGCTCAGCGGTTAGAGCGTCGGCCTGTGGTCCAGAGAGACCCGGGTTCGGTTCCCGCTAAGGGCATGTGCCTCGGTTGCAGTTTGTCCCTGGCTCTGGTTGGGTCGTGTGGGTGGCAACCACTCGACGTGTCCCTTTCACGTCGATGTTTCTCTCTCTCTCTCTCTCTCTCTCTCTCCCTCCCACACTCTATCTGAACAAAAAATAGAAAAAATATCCTCGGGTGAGGATAAAAAAAAAAAAAAAAGAAAGTGGAAGAGAAACTTCATTATTCTAAAGTCTGCTTCTTCAAACCCTGTGGCCTCCTGAAAAAGCTTATGGATAGAAAAAACGGGGGTGGGAATAAGAATTCTGCTAGCAGCCCTGGCCAGTTTGGCTCAGCGGTTAGAGCGTCGGCCTGCAGTCCAGAGAGACCCGGGTTCGGTTCCTGCTAAGGGCACGTGCTTCGGTTGCAGTTTGTCCCCAGCTCTGGTTGGTCATGCGGGTGGCAGCCACTCGATGTGTCCCTTCACATCGATGTTTCGTCTCCCTCCCACTCTATCTGTACAAAAAATGGAAAAATATCCTCGGGTGAGGATTAAAAAAAAAGAATTCTGCTAGCAAATAAGCATCTTAGAGTAGGAAAACACAAACACACCTAGCGAGCCAAAGGGAGCTCAAGGTCAGGTTTAATATGCTAGAATTTGTTCACTTTGAGCAAAGGCAGAGGCTTGGAAGATGGGAAAGTTTCTTCCTTCTCTCCTCCCCACCAA